TTGCCTCTTTCTCTTCTTCAGATGTCATCTTCAATTTGGTTCTTGAATTACTGTGAGTAATTCTGGAATCTAGATCAATTTCTTTATACCACTTAGTTATAAACCTCACTTTAATGGAGATATAGATAGATAGACAGACAGACAGACAGATGGAAGTTGAGTATTTCTTATCCAAAATGATAACCAGAAGTGTTTGGGACCAGAAGTGTTTCTGCTTTTTTTTCAGATTCTGGGATATTTGCATAATGATATATAGGGATGGAACCCAAGTCTAAACATGAAATTCATTTATATTTTATATAGCTCTTATATACACAGCCTGCATGTAATTTTATATAATATTTTTAATAATTTTATGCATGAAACAGTTTCATGGTGTGGAATTTTGCGTTTGTGGTAGAGTCAGAATTCAAAGCATTTCAGATTCTAGAGCACTTCAGATTTCAGATTTTTATAGTAGGGATGTTCAGTGTGTGCATGTGTGTGTGTGTACAGTATATGTCCATTTTTCCCATTATGCACCAAAACCTGTATGATTACATGTTCACAATGGGTGGGTTTTACATGCTGATCCAGATTTTAAATTTTCTGGTGAATAACTTTTCTTCATCACAGGACTGGTATGATTTAGCAATAGAATAGATGACACCAAAAGAAGAAATCATAAAGGACAAAACATCTGACCATATATAAAACATGAGCTTCTACATGTTAAAAACAAACTACAACTGAATAATAAATGAAAATACATGGATATTTATAATATATCCTCATATGATTAAAAGTCATTTTAAAAATTCATTAGAGTTGATAAGAAATAGAAAAATACTTCCAGTTTTTTCAAATGGGCAAGTGATATAGAGAGGCAATTTTCAAAAGAAGAATTACCTAGTTCCAAAACCTATAAAAATGTACTGCTTCAACAGCAACCAAAGAAATGCAAATTGAAATTAAATAAGATACAGTCTTTTTCTTTGGTAAGATTTTTTTTAAAGATTTGTAAAATCTATTGATGAAGATTTGGGGAAATAGGAATATGGGGGAAAAGGAGCTCTATGAGTCAGCGGGTTGATGTGAATTGTCAAAAAAGAAAAGAAAAAACCCTAAGCACTGTGGACTGTATAGATGGTACAGGATCTAAAGCGAGGCAGGTGGCATTCTAACTCTCAATGAGGCACAGCCAGAGCTGGCCAGGAGCCTTGGAGCCGGCTGGCTCCGTCTCAGATCCCAACCCTGACGCTTTGCAGCAATGTAATTGGAGCAACGTTTTAAAGCTCATCTTCTAACATCTGACAAACAGGGATATTGCTAATTATATTTTAAGGTTGTGGGGAAATTAAATAAAATGATTTTTATAAATCACTGAAATCAATAACTAGCACTTTGTAAGCACTCTTGAATACGACTGATTCCCTGTAAATCTATGTTTCTCAAATGCCCTGGAGAACGACACTGAGTGCAGGGACCTTCAAAGATGCAGATAACCTGGAGCCTGTTCAAAAGAGAAAGCCAAGATGGTACCATCTCTCCTGAACTACTAAAAGAACTGGCTAGGTTTAGCCCAAAAAGGGACAAAGAACAGATGAGAATTGTCGTCAAAGGTGTGAAATCCCTAGATTGTTTCAAAGCTGCACTAGGTAGAGGTTTTTGAAAAAGTTTTCTGCATAACTCAGAGAAAAATAGTGAGTTTCCTGACAAGAGAAGTGTTCAAGAATACTTGTTAATAGGTTAATTCAAACAATGCAGACTTTGAGCCCAACCTGGGCAATTGAGCAATGTAGCATGAGTCTGTCTTAGAATTTTAAAAAATATAAAAAGGGGTAGGGATGTCAGTGCGAAGGGCCTGTGTTTAATCTTCAGTATGGGAGCAGGAGCCACAGATGAGAAGTTTAATTAAACACATAGCATCCCTTTCTACCCTGAGATTTTATACATCGGTCTCAGAGAAACTGCTGTCTCTATGTCTCTTTAGCTGTACATTTCCAGATAAATCTGCCAACCTTTGGGCCCCACCTTCAAACCAATAAAGAAATGGTAATAAATCTTAGAGCCATATTTTACATGATCATTTAAAGATTATATCCTAGTTGAAGTTATCTTCTTTTTCTAATTCTGAAAACTTTGCTATAACAAATAATTGTTAGAACAGTTTCTAGGCTTCCAGATATTGGGAGCATAAAAAATAAATGAAATCCAATCTCTCCTCTCACAGTTCATAATCTAACTGAGGAGATTTGTCCAGCTCAAGGTGACAAATGCCCAAATCAGAGGTGCCTTACTGTGTATGCTCAGCTTTGCTGAGAGAAGCCACAACTGATGGCTGAGAGCTGGGCAATTGGCATTTTGTGTTATCACCCCTCCTGGACACATCACAGAGCATGAAGACACCTCTTTTGACTTCCCTTTTCCCTGGAGCTTCTCTTTTCAGAGGCTGATGTATGACTGGAATTCAAGGGAAAATTGCTTTATGAACCAAACTGTGTAATTAAAGCAGAACTGTGAGTTATTATTACCTGTTTTCCCACACCCATAGGAAGTTAATTTTAAATTGATGCTGCTTAGATTAAACCTTATCTTCTGTTGCATTGTTAATCATATCATATACTTTCTTACTTGTATAACATCCCAAACAAATGGTTGTCTTGTGCCTCTTTGAAAGCAAGGACATTTGTCTATTTAGTAGAATATTTTTTACATAAATGAACTTTTCCAGGTTGAATAATTTTTCAATAAAACATTAAGTAACCAATACAGAAATGGCACACTGTGCTAAAATGATATCTGGAGTCTTAGTTTTCAGTTCACATCTCAATTTTACGTCCTATAGGTTCCACTTTGACAAATTACTTAGCCAAATTACTAAATTTTTCTAAATATTTGTACCCTCATCTGTAAAATGAAGATAACGTACCTACTACTTCCCATTATAAAGATTAAAGGAAATTATATATTTAAAGGGCTTAGCACAGTGGCTAGCTTATAGTAAGGGTTCAAAGATTTTAGCTTCAGCAAGTGAAGTAGGGAAAATTTCTGAAACAAGCATTTATTTAAAATGCCACATTAGAGGACTAGGGGTATAGCCCAGTGTCGCCTGGCTTCCCTACCATGTGCAAGGCTCTGAGTTTGACCCATAGCAGTGAAAAAAAAAAAATCACTTAAACAAAAACAAAATACCAAAATTGAGAATCTTATTACAACAGAGTGTTCAAGTGGTCCCAGACAAAAAAACAAATAATATGGAGGAGATACATTTTAAGCATAAAAATTATAGAATATATAAATTGTGGAAATTTCAATATGAACTTTTACTATATTTTCTTCTAGGCACATTTTCTAGATTGACATTCACAAGGCCTAATATGAAAGAATTACTCTCACTAAAAACTATTTATTAATTTAAATCTATATGCTTGACAACCCTGACTCTATCAACCTGTTTCTGGTGAAACAGTGTCACTTCTTACAGATTTAATGTTCTATATTTTTGTAGTTTGGGAATTTAAAATATGAGCATACAAATTTTATAATAGCAATTTTATTGAAAAATGTTTTTTAGTTGTCTATAAAACAAAAATGAGCAAAACTTTGCAGAAAATATTTCCATTCACTCATTTTTCTCAGATATTAGCCCAAAATCAATTAACAGTAATTATCATTGGTTCTCTTAGAAGGTATTTCTGCCCATCACAGAGAATCTACATGCACCTCTGCGTGTGCATGTGTGTCTTTTCCAAAGGATATTTCAAACTACAACTAGTCAGACAGAACACCAGCTGAGGGCACATAACTGCACCATTGCAAATATACTGCAAACACTAACTTAGATTAAATTTGTATTAGGAAAATCCTGGGTACGAACAGAGCTCAGTGCTGTGAGTCAGAAACCCAGGAGTCATCAGAAAGTGGCTTTTTGGTCCCAACTCTGTCATGGCCATGTGACTTTGAATCTCCCAAGATCCAAGATCTCAGATGAGGGAGTTAGGACAAATGGTCAAAGATCCCTTCCAGTCTGAAATAAAAACAGAGATAGGCTGCAACAATGCTGTTTCACTTCCTTCAAAGTAGAACACTGTAGGCTAAAACACAAAACAAATAAATGCTCTAAAAGAGAGTTACATTAAGGTACTGAACCCAGTTCATTTCAGAAACTCTGAGCTCATGTGGTGCAGTGTGAGCATGCTGTACCAGAGGTGCTGCCCACAGGATGCCAACAAGCCCGACGTGTGAATTCTCCATGCTGGGCAGTTTCACAGCTCAGAACACACCCAGCATGAGAAGAAAGACCAACAGCCTTAACAGCATTCAATTTTCCTGATGCCACATCAGCAAGACTAAGTATTTTTTAGTACACTGGGGTCTCTATTTCCTAATCTTTAAAATGGTGCATCTGCTAACTTGACAGCCCACTGTACAAATTCACTAAGAGTTGTAAGTGAAGAGATTGTAGCCCATTAAAAAAAAAAAAAAGTAAGGATTTGTTGTGCATCAATTCTAAAATAGCCCAAGAAATAAGTTATAATCACTCTGTCATTACATCAACTCATCTTTAATCCCTTTCTTCTCTCCTCCCCATACCCAAAAAAAACCCTGAGGGAGAAAAATTTAAATAACAAATCAACAGTCTCTCTAAGTAACTTCTGCAGCAGAAGCACTTGAAGTTTTTGGCATAACACACATGTGGTCCTTAATACTGATATTCTAAATTATGAGGAAATTAACCAGAGGCCCTACCTTCCCAACTGTGCAGTTTAGAATTCTTAGACTCATTAGTTAAAACTGTGCCAACTGGATTAATCCACTTTTAAGAAACAGAAGGCAGTGGAATCTGTGCTGATCACTCCCTCCTCAACATTCCACTCGGCAACATGCTCCCTTTCAACTCAATAGCACCAAACATTCCTAATGAAAGAAAGGGCCAGAGTGCAAAGCTGAACATCAGTCCTCTGCTAGTCTGTCTCGCCTATGTAAGGAAGGGGCTCTGTGGTGGCTCTCCTACTTACCTTCTTCACGAGGTAGCCCTCCCTGATCCGCTTTGGCTCCATGTTTGACGGAAAGACTGACACACGGACCCACTCTCTCACAAGTCCTCCGGGTTCAGGCTCCTCTGACAGCTGAAGAGGTTGTGGGCTGCCCCTTTTACAGTGAGGTCTCTTTCACAATTTCCCTTCTGCTGGTGATCTCATGATCACATCCTCTTCCCCTCACTGGGGTGGAGGATCAGAATAAGGAACTGGACAGCCAAACAGCCCATGCTTTGCTAATGCTGGAGATATTAAAAGTACATTTCTATTCAATATTTAATCAAGGTAATTTTTTTTTCTGTACTGGAGATTAAAGCCAGGACCTTCACACTGAGCTACATCCAGGTCTTTTTTTTTTTTTTTTTAATTTGAGACAAGGTCTTGCTAAGTCATTAAGTTATCCAGGCTGGACTTGAATTTGTGATCCTCCTGCCTCAGCCTCCCATAGTGCTGGGATTACAGGCAGACACCACTACACCCAGTTCCCAGCCCTTTTAAAAAATTTAATTTTGAGACAGAGTCTCCCCAAGTTATCCAGACTGGGCTCAAATTTATTATCCCCCTGCCTCTGCATCCCAATTAGCTGAGATTACAGGTGTGCACCACCAAACCAGACCCAAAGCTTTATTACCATGAAGAAAACAATTCTCCTAGAGAGAAGAAAAAAATGAAGAGGAAAATGAATAAGAAATCCTTACTGGAAATTGTCCTGCTTAGAAATTATTCTTGAGATCCTAAAAATGCTTGGTAAGAATTGCCAAGAAATTCAAAACCGTCTGGTTAGCACAACAAAGCACTTACTATGCATATGGTTCAGTCTACCTCATCTAATTTGGTCCTCACAAGAAAAACTACAGAGCAAAGTATATTACTGTCCCTATCTTGGGGATAGGGAAATGCGGTCACAGAGAACAGCTGCCTCAAGGCAACACAGCAGCTAAGAAGCGCACAAGAATGGCAGAGGGGAACCAGGGCACCACGGCCTCCCACCGGGCACGAGAAGAGCATCTGCCTCTGAACACTCGGAGTCTGCAATCACACATGTTTGAGAAACTGGTCATATAGTCCAGCTTGGCATCTCCCCTTACAGAGTAACAAAGATAAGTACTGCCACAAAGACTGCTATAATAGTGCTTCCCAAAGATGTTTGAATACAGAAATCTTCTGGGAACAAATTCTAGTTGGGCACAGTGGTGCATCTTTGTAATCCCAGCCCTCTGGGAGGGTGAGGCAGGAAGACTGAAATGTTCTAGCCCAGCCTGGTCAACTTAATGAGATCCTGTCTCAGGAAAAAAAAAAAAAAATGTGGGAGTATAGGTAAATACTGGCTTCCAATTCCCAGTGTCACCAAAAAATAACAATAACTGAGCAAATTCTAGCACCATTTTTGTTAATGAATTGAATTACATCTTTCAAAAAAGAAGTCCTACTTTCCGTCTAGTACCTCAGAATATGATATATGTGGAAACAGGGTAGTATATGTAAATACAGTAAAGTGAAAATGTGGTCAAGCTGGAGCAGATAGGCCTTAGGAAAGGTGGAGACTCCCTCAGAGAGAAAACCACAACATTGTGACAGATGGGGGATAGTCATGATGAACTGACAAACCAAGAAATGCCAAAGATTGCCAGCAAGCACCAGAATCTAGAAGAGGAAGCAAGGGCTCTCTCTTAGAGCTGCCAGAATGGTGAGACAATAAATTTCTGTTATTTTTAAGCCACCTACTTTGTAGTGCTTTGTTTTAGCAGACCCTAAAAAACTAGTACAATTTTTTAAAATGTTATATTCTATAGGATAAACGATTTGTGTGTGTGCGTGTGGGAGGGGGGCTGGGGACTGAACCCAAGGCCTAGGCACTGAGCTACATATGATAAACTTTGAAGAACTATTAATCAGACCATGTGAAATGGGCAAGGGATTTAATCACTCTGTGCCTCAATGGGGTCATTCTGAAGATTAGATAAGAGAATACATGTTTAGAACCATGTCTATAGTAAGTGTCTGTAAATGTTGGTTATTCTTCATTTTCAAGGCATGATTCCATTTTCCTTGGGCTAGTCCTTTTATTTCCATGGAGGCTACAGAAACAATGATAGGACTAGGTTTCTGGTTAGTTCTTTTTCCTCATTATACCAGTCAATGTTCTGTAAATGACAACATCGACAGAATGATGTAATCAACAGAAACCAAGTTGGGCTAATACAGGCAAACAGGGATTCTCCAGAAGAAAACAGGGTGGTTCATGGACTTGAAGGAGAAATGAAGACAGGTCTCGGGTAGGACAGGAACCAGGGAAGCTGTAGAGTTCCAAGAAACAAGAACTAAGCGACTACCTCTTAAAGGCACTGTATGAAAATATTCCTGTGGGGGCCAGGGATTTAGCTCAGTGGTTCTGCCGCCTGCTTCAAAAGTACAAGGTCCCAAGTTCGATCCCTGATACCAAAAAAAAAAAAAAAAATTCCTGTGGTTTTCAGACCTGATAGCCTCCTCCAAACCTGGTGCCCCGGTTAGGCCTCTCCAGTATCTGCAGGTGCAGTGTGGGAACTTATAGCCTCAGTAGACCGGGCTCACTGGGGAGGGATTGCCCCCAAAGTAATATCCAGATGCTGTCAAGTAGCAGAAGCAGTAGAATCGAAGTTCCCTGGGTAAGCAGCAAACATCCACAAAGATATCTGAGGAGCTAGGAAAATTAGGGGAAGTTCTGTTCCTGAGATTCTCTGAGAGCCTACTGATGTGCTGTTTTCCTTCTAGCTGTTTTCTAATCACCACTCACCACTGCTCTAGCTTCTCAAATTTATTTCACACTAATAGAGATGACATAAAATTATCCGATGGCTTGCCATCAGTTTCTCACTGCACTGAAATTAATTATAAAGAATTAAAAACTGTTGGGAGTGGAAGTGGTCAATACTGATGGCACCTGAGCAAATCAGAAACAGGGTGATTTGTTGTGTTTAGACTCAAGCATGCAATCTGCTGTCTGTACAAGCAGTGGAAACCACTGTTCATAGCTCTACCAAATGCCATTTGATGGCTGAATTTCTCATCTCCTTTGTCTAACTGACCAACTGACTTCTAATTTGGTATGTTTCCTGCATTTGTCCTAGTGTGATCAGAAGGCTTTGAAGAACCTTTACACAGAAACATGTGTTTTTGGTTTGTTGTTGATGCCCACAGTGTAAAAGCAATCTCTGCTTTCTGAATAGTGGTCACTATGGCATAAGTGCAAGAGTAAAAATGTCTTGACACCACGAAATTTCCCAAATGAGTCAATTCAACCATGGATGGGTTAGATGTGAACGCTACTGCCCCCTCCATCCTGCCAGAGGTCCTCACGCCTGCTTAGCGACACCTAGTGGTCAGTAAAGGGGACGGTCTGAATCAATGTCATCACTTGGAACTTTTGTCTCAAGAGTGTGAGCAAATATCTTGGGACAGATTCCATTCCCAAATCAGATGATTAGAAACTGCCAATATCTTTTTTATGTTTGTGTGTCCAGGATTATTACTTAAAATCTCATTCTGCTCTTTGATTTTTCCCATATTTGATCAACAACCTTGGAGAGATTCTTTTTTTTTTTTTTTTTTTTTTTTGGTGTAAGGAGAAGCTAAGATTTTGAAAACAAGATTATTATATATAATAGGAAAATTATATATTGTTTACAGCAGATCTTTCTAGGTTATCCATTTCTATGGCTTTGTACCTTTCCTTGGAGTCATTTTACAACTCTACACTGTGGAAAGCTAACAGCCATGAAAGTAATTCCCACAAGAATGAAAACTGTTCAATGGACTTCACCATCCCTCAGTGCCTTCCCATGGAAAAAGTTAGTTTTGTGTCCATTTTAAGTAGATTTAAGGATTCCTTTACTTCCATATAAATTTGTCTTTGACCTTTTTCTGAATGAGTTGTGATATCTGACTGGTTCCTCTTCATGAGTTAAATAAAACTTTCAAAAAGTTATAATTTACTATATTTTACCCTTCTTTAAAATTTATTCTTCAGCATTGATAACTCAAAAGGACCTAAAATTTAGCTGAGAAAGATCAGAATAGTGGCAGTACTAAGCTTAAATTAAGAGAAAGGTGTCCAAATATGTAGAGTCTGGGATTTTCCCCTACTGGAAGATGCCAGTTTCACAGAGGCTGACAGGAGACCCAAGACTTCTGGGCTTTTTTATGAGACAAATTACTTTTTCCTCACAGCACAGTAAACAGAACGAGCTGCATCTTTGCACTGGTTCCCGGTACCCCCACCCCACCCCAGTGCTGTTAAGAGCAAAGTAGAGCAGCTCAGCAGATGCTGCATACACAGGTTTTGCATCCCAATCAAGGACCCTTGAGCTTAGGGAACCTGAATATTGCATAATGGGCTGCAAGCAAAGCTGCACTAACTTTGTCTCAGAGGGAGGTGTTATATACTTGACAGTAAACAAATCTGTCCTTTGTTCTGGAATGAGACCATATCTCTATCTTCAGTATACAGACATCCAAAAGAGAGAGTGCCTCTGCACACAAGAACTACAGAAATGATCAGGGAAGAATTATCTCCAGCAAAAGGAAAGCCTAAACTGTCTAATTCACTGAAACCTACTGGAGGGCATGTAGCTGGTGCCCAGTGTATCTTCAGGTCAAGATGGGAGCTGACCCCACACATTGAGCAAACACTTTCAAAGGGACACACAAATTCACATGGAAATTATTATATATTTTATATGCATATAAATGATTATTGATGATATTATGTATATAAAAGTGTGAAAATATATACACTCTTGCTTCAAAGGAAACATTTTAATATATATATGAAGGACCTGTTGTTGCATCCTGGTAGCAACAAGCTCTCCTGGCTCTCTAAGTTTTAGTACTAATTCCCAATAAAAGGAACTCAAGCTCCTTTGAGAAATGGATAATTATAGGATTATAGGAGAAAATATATAAGGTGACCTTCTAGCATCTTGTGCTCCAGAAAGTAAGGAAATGCTAAAAAATATTTTAAATTAAGAAATAAATAAGCTAGGTATGGTGACATATTCCTCTAATCCTACTACTCTGGGAGAATGAGGCAGGGTGATCACAAGTTTGGGCCCAG